GCGCCACCGTCCGCTCCTCCGTGCTCCCACCTCGCGAAAGTTAATTCCATTTCCACTTATTCGGCTACACGGAATTCCTTGGGATATCTGCACGAGACGTTCCCTGCGTGAAGAATTCCGTATTAAAAGTTTATCCCGACGTGGCACGCGGTAAAGGGCTTGAAATTCCATTCCGGGAGCATGCCACTACGGGGAATTCTGCAGCGGTTAAAGCGCCGCCATGGTGGCGAGACCGTCGGGGCGCCTCGGTGTAACTTTTCGGTAACATCGTCCTTTGTCGATCCTCCGCTACGTCGGAAATTAATCCGACGAAACTCGCGGGGCTCGCGAGACTCGCTTTGAGGTTAGCTTTTAAGATTGGCCCCCTCATATTCGTTGCGTCATTGCCTTTATGCGGGGAACCAACGAGGGAACGTTTACCGTGCCGTCCGCCATGTTTAAACCCGGGCTAAATGCTAATTTACGTTGAAATTTCAGAATAACGGATGAAATTTTCACATTTTATACAGTTACGAAGACGCGCAGTATTGGTCTGTCGTTTAATACAATCGCTCAAGCATTGTATGAGAATGTATAAGTGAAAACCAAAGTACAGGAAATTTCCACGTGAGGTAATGTACACTCTCCCCTCAATTTATGAAAATGCGGTTGAGGGTCGCGCCAAATACATTCACTTTGCCTTTTGCCGGTATAATTCATCTGTTCATTAGATTCTAAGATTGCTAATCGATTTTAATACGTTAGTAATTTCCTATTTCATTTGTTTCATAAATAGAAATGTTTAGTTCTAGTACTCGAGGTGGGTATAGAACTCACGTCGCGCGCAGCGTGAGTCCAAAAGTATTTGGCGCGCGACGCAACCATGACTTCGGAAACATTATCCCCAGGAAAGTTAGTTTCCATTAATAAATCTTCCCTATCTTTGCAGGTTTCGAGTTGGTTTGCGTTGTTGGCGGCGATATGCCGGGATGGTTTTGAGAATTCGCCGCGAGAGGACGATCATACTTTTAATGGAGCGTCAGGAAGGTGACGAGCTAAAGTTTATAACGAAGACGAGCTAAGGTTTATAACGAAGACGAGCTAAGGTTTATAACGAAGACGAGCTAAGGTTTATAACAAAGACGAGCTAAGGTTTATAAACCTTAGTACTCGAGGTGGGTATAGAACTCACGTCTCTCGCAGCGTGAGTCCAAAAGTATTTGGCGCGCGACGCAGCCACGGCTCCGGACACATTACCCCCAGGAAAGTTACGGGCATCCCTGCCAACGTCGGTTACCGTTAATAAATCTCCCCTATCTTTGCAGGTTTCGAGTTGTTTTGCGTTGTTGGCGGCGATATGCCGGGATGGCTTTTAGGATTCGGCGCGAGTGGACGGCCATATTTTCAATCAGGAAGAAGACGAGCTAAGGTTCATAAACCTTAGTTAGTACTCGCGGTGGGTATAGAACTCACGTCTCTCGCAGCGTGAGTCCAAAAGTATTTGGCGCGCGACGCAGCCACGGCTCCGGACACATTACCCCCAGGAAAGTTACGGGCATCCCTGCCAACGTCGGTTACCGTTAATAAATCTCCCCTATCTTTGCAGGTTTCGAGTTGTTTTGCGTTGTTGGCGGCGATACGCCGGGATGGCTTTTAGGATTCGGCGCGAGTGGACGGCCATATTTTCAATCAGGAAGAAGACGAGCTAAGGTTCATAAACCTTAGTTAGTACTCGCGGTGGGTATAGAACTCACGTCTCTCGCAGCGTGAGTCCAAAAGTATTTGGCGCGCGACGCAGCCACGGCTCCGGACACATTACCCCCAGGAAAGTTACGGGCATCCCTGCCAACGTCGGTTACCATTAATAAATCTCCCCTATCTTTGCAGGTTTCGAGTTGGTTTGCGTTGTTGGCGGTGATACGCCGGGATGGCTTTTAGGATTCGGCGCGAGTGGACGGCCATATTTTCAATGGACCGTCAGGAAGGAGACGACAGGACGAAATGGAAGCGCCCAGTCCGAAATAAAGGAACCACCGCCTCTTGTACGGACGAACAGTTCTCGTTGCGACACAACAAGGGTCGAAGGTGGGACATGAACCGGAATTACCGGAAAATATAAAAATTCGGCACTTCCGTAGGCGGATCTCCAAGGCGCACACCAGACACGTGTCTCGCAGACGTAATATGGCCCTTATGATTTATGCATCGACGTATGCACCGCATCGGCTGCATCCTCCTTCGCCCTAATGCTGACATTGAATCCAGACTCGCTGCGTTGCAGCTTCCGCCATTCGAGCACCGGAAAGAGGAGAAGGACACTCGAAGTCTAGACTCTGCGTTGTATTGTCAATTTTATTAATATTAAATGTATATATATATATATATATATATATAATACTTGGCGACGTTCGCTTCCTTCTCACGAGCTTGTGCGTTTCATAAAACTGCGACTGACAATGTTCATGGAGACAAAATCTTTAAAATGCAGATTTTATCGAGAGATCGTACTTACAGTGACTATAGTCACCTAACACCTGTCGCTCCCTATGTACTTATGGTAACTATAGTTACCCAACACCTGTCGCTCGCTATGTACTTACGGTAACTATAATCAACCGAAGCCTGTATTCTCTAGTTGCATTATAAATAAACTTATCTTTTATCTGTTATACATTCGTTTTTTTCCAATCCAATCGACGATATCGCTCGTAACGAAGCCCTTCCGTGGACCCTGAAAATCTTCACAAAGTACCCGAAAATCAGGTACTTTTTTTTAAGGTACCTGAAAACCTGTAGTGGAAGTACCTGAAGCATTTTAAGGGGTATTTGGAAATCAGGTACCTTTTCAAGGTACCTGAAAATCTCTAATAAGTACCTGAAACCCTGAAGTGGAAGTACCTGAAGCATTTTGAAGGGTATTTGGAAATCAGGTACCTTTTTAAGGTACCTGAACATCTCTAAAAAGTACCTGAAACCCTGAAGTGGAAGTACCTGAAGCATTTTAAAGGTGATGTATTTGGAAATCAGGTACCTTTTTAAGGTACCTGAACATCTCTAAAAAGTACCTGAAACCCTGAAGTGGAAGTACCTGAAGCATTTTAAAGGTGATTTGGAAATCAGGTACCTTTTTAAGGTACCTGAAAATCTCTAAAAAGTACCCGAAACCCTGTAGTGGAAGTACCTGAAGCATTTTGAAGGGTATCTGAAAATCAGGTACCTTTTAAAGGTACCTGAAAACATCTGCAAAGTACCTGAAGACCTCTGCAAAGTACCTGAAAACCTGCAGCAAAAGTACCTGAAGCATTTTAAAGGGTATCTGAAAATCAGGTACCTTTTGCAGGTACCTGACAACCTATGCAAAGTACCTGAAAACCTCTGCAAAGTACCTGAAAACCTGCAGCAAAAGTACCTGAAGCATTTTAAAGGGTATCTGAAAATCAGGTACCTTTTAAAGGTACCTCAAAACCTCTAAACGGTACCTAAGAACCTCTAAAATGTACCTGCAAGCCTGCAGTAAAAGTACCTGAAATAGTTTAAAGGGTACCTGAAAATCAGGTACCTTTCAAGTCCTGTCACATTAAAAATCCTTATTAAAAGAGGGGTTTTTTATTCAACGGGTCGAGGGACGAGAAGATTAACCCAGAAAGACAGCTTGGGGTAATCTCGTCTCTACGTGCAAGTCACGTGTCGCGTTGTCACGTGTGGACCGGGCTTTACGTTATTAAGTTTCCAGACCCGCCGAGACGAACGCGCAAACACGTAAATTTGCCCTTATTACACGAATTACGTAAAGCCGTAATAGTACTAAGGAATGGTAATAAAGATAATCCCTGTTAGGAAACTATAAGATCGAAATAGAGGCTAAACATTAAAGCGATGAAGCATGAAAGTAAATTTTGAGATATTTATGAAATGTTGAGATATTTATGAAATTTTGAGATATTTATGAAACTTTTCTCTGAATTGGGTGCCCCGAATAATTTGAAGGTTCATTACGTGGTATAAGGTAGGGTATATATCATTATTTCATATCACCTTAAGGTGACATGAAACTGTGGTATATACGTAAAAGAATGTTAAAATATTAATAAAGCTTTCATGAAAAATGGGCCCACCGAATTGTCTGAAACTTTCCGTACCTGCCGAAGAGGGAGCCACCGTCGCGGGTAACTGCGGCGGCTTGCGACACTAATATTGTCGAGATCTTGCCAAATTGTCGCAATAAGCGCCTCCCTGCGGCGTAGTCCCTTGCGACACCGCATTCTGATATTATGTTCTCTCGTAACGCGTGGCTCGGAGCACGTACCAACCCTTATGAGACTCGCCGAAGGGTTAATAGAGCCAGACCCAGGATAGGGGAGCTCCTTCCAAGGGAGGAAAGAATGTCCATGGGTGGGGAAATTTCTTCGGAAGTCTCCGTCTCTTGAAAATTCTCTCTTGAAAATTCAAGTTTCATCCCAAATGACGGATTATGGATGGAATTAAGTTGGATTAAGGGGATGTGAAAGTGGCATCCAAGAGTTCATGAAACCTTTCGCCGGTGCTGAATCCTTTCTAACCTTACAACGTTCATCTGGAGGCTATAAGGAAGGTCCTGACGCCCATGAAATTTCGATTTTTCTTACATTTGTTCATGGATGTTTTGAAGATTTGTTGTTAAAAAATGAAATTTCACGAGGGGAGGGACCTTCTTTAAGGGCTAAAAATATTTGTGAGTGTTGCAGATGAAATCCGAAGATTTAAGGGGGTGTGAAAGCGGCATCCAAGAGTTCATGAAACTTTTCTTCGGTGCAGAATCCTGACGCCCATGAAATTTCGATTTTTCTTAGATTTGTTCATAGATGTTTTGAAGATTTGTTGTTAAAAAATGAAATTTCACGAGGGTCTGGACCTTCCTTATAGCCCATTCACGTTGTAAAGTTTGAAATGTTTCAGTTTCATTTAATCGTTCGAGCATGTTTCTCTATACACACATTACTTGGTTTATTATAATAATTAATTAACAATGTACAGGTCTCATTTGATCACAGAAATTTGTACGAATCCGCACTCGATGCCTCCGACAGTTCGTTTAAACAGAAATTTATCAATTTTGAGCCAATGTCATGAAATCCTGAATCCGCACTTTGCATATGCAATTTGACACTTTATCATATTCTCCCGTAGTTAACGATTAATAATTGTCAGAAAATATGTTGAAAGTGACTCTATACTCTTGTGTGACAATTATATCATTTTTCGCGAGGGACTATTCTAATTCATATGAAATCGACTAATTGTTCAGATAATTAGCCGATTACATATGACAAAGAATAATTTAATTCGGTTAAAATTGACGATCGGCATTAAAATTCGGACAATATTTTTCGATTTCCAGGTATGAAATATTTCATTTCATGACGATGGCCAAAAATGACCTAATATCCGTTTAAGGGTTAGCGATTATCAATCAATCGGATATATTTTTGATAGGTTGGACTTCGGGACATCTTCCGATATCAGACACCTCATCGACCGACATAATTTCGACTTATCGATCAGGATAAATTCCGACATCGAATTATCACTACGTCACTGATCGCGCCTTCTTCCTTATCATTCGTCCGCGAGATTAAGCTCGATAACAAGGTCGACCGCGATAGCCCGAAGAAGAGACTCAGATCGTCTATTATACTATAATATTAGTTAATAATTATGTCAGTCCTAATAATATTGCCAATATTAATAATCCCGCACTGTATGTCATTCTGCTGGTCGATGACACGCCTGTCACATTTGTTATCCATCCTGAAATGATTGGCACGTTGACAAAGACGGACGGGTACTCGGCTTCTGCACATTTATGACTCCATGACACTATTCCTGTAAATAATATAAATTAATATTAGTAAAACAACATATATGGACAATATATTCCGGGGTCTTTTCAATTACTAGAACATTTATCAAATTGAAGTAATGAAATTTGGTGATAAGTGGTGGGTGACGTTCGTGCATGATATGTGTATGATAAAAGGATATAAATAATATAAACTACCATTGGTAAAATAACATGCACGGACAATATATTCTGGGGTCTTTTAAATTATTAAAACAACATTTATCATATTTAAGTACTGCAATTTGGTGATAAGTGCTCGGTGCCGTTCGCGCATGTTAAATAAATGATAAAAGATTGAAGTATTTAATAATGTAAAATATTTTATCACATGGGATGAACATCTGAGGAGCTTACCGACTATGAGATTTTTAGCTAATGCCGGAGATCCAGAATCACCCATACATGGTCCAGCGCCATCTACATTTGTGCAAAACATCCGGTCAGTTACGGAGAAATTTCCGTAAACGAGTCTGCATTTGTCATTGTCGATCTTCATCACTTTAGTGCTGCGAATTTCCCCCGAGAAGTTTCCGAGATTCTGCCAAATGAAATTCCAAATAAGCATGGATGAACATTGAAAGTTCCAAAGAAACATTTATGCACATTGAAAGTTCCAAATAAACACCTATGAACATTGAAAGTTCCAAATAATGAACATTAATGAACATTTGAAGCGAAAAAAAAGAAACATTTCCTTTTTACAACAAAGTGGCCATGATAAGCAAGGGGATCGTCATTACGATTTCTATGAATTCGGATGAGTTTAACTTCTTAATGTCGAACTTTATAAGAAAAAGCTTTATACAAAAGTTGTAGTACTCATTCTTCCGTATAATGTTTATACGGTGTACTTTTTTCTACAAAGTACTATTAAAGAAGAAATGAAGATAAATGACCGATGTATCTTTCGCTTGGCACAGCACAGTGTCGCAATATCCACAACCAATCAAACGACTAATTGCTTCAATTCCACGCATCGCAGGTGATTTTCATCAATGATGGCGCATACTAAACACGTTAACATTGCGCAATTACCTTTATTGCCCCCCATCCGACAACAGCAATCATTTCTTCGTTTGCAATTTCCATATCGGGTGGAGGTAACCTTATTGGCAGTGTTTGGTTGTCGAAGGTGATGTTACTAGCCAGCTAGAAATCGAATGATTTTCATATAAACGTTAATTCCAAAAGTAATTACATTAAATCCTCGGTAGAAAATTACCCTAAGTAGTCCCACGTCGAAGTCATTATGTGCTTCGCTGTAATTAGGATGTACTAAGATGTCAGCGACTAAGTGAATCTGGCCACCTTCGTAGTAATACTTTGACCCAACTCGCACTTGCAGTTCCTCCTTTTCTAACCTATAAAATAACATATTTTAACATTAATATTATATTTTTCAGCTTAGTTTATTAATGCGTCTTTAATTGTTTTAACATTTAGTCGTTAATTAGTTCATGGGTGTCAGTTTCATATCACCTTAATTGGTTATGACCCTCTTTGCGATTGCGCGATGGTCAGGTGCAATGTGTACCGATAACCCGGTGAGATAAAAGATAAATATGACGATCGATCTTCGGATACATTGACGAAAGTCGAAAGTGTAATTGCCGATGGTCCTGACATGTCTAGAGTCATGAAGATACAATAGTATTACATTCTTACTCAGTGGCGCATTGGGCAGTTGTAACGATCCAGTTTTCGCTGATAATACTCCCGCCGCAAAAGTGCAGAACATCGTGCCCGAAAAATGATTCGTTATATTGAAGTGATGCCTGAAAGCAATCCGCAAATGGTTATGCAAATCTAGATTTTAAGTTTTCAATACAAACAATAATGGGACTAACAACAATGTAATTCGGTGACAAGTGACGTTCATCAATCATGATTTTGATAATTCCGACAGAAATGCAATTTACTTACGATATAATATNGTTAATATGATAGAAATAAATAAATAATTAGAATGTACTAATTCTCTTACATGGCCGGTATAGTAGAGCGCTGACAACTGCGATCAGGTACAACATGTTGCTGAACATTTTCTCAACTTTTTGCTTCTGAGCTTGCCGGGGAGTACCTCTCGTGTATATATAAATCCGGTAAAGAATTATCTGTCCGATAAGAAATGTATCAGACTTTATCTAGACGTTCGTAAAGAATATTCCCTGGATTTTTAGGAAATGTGCCCCCCTATCGGAGCAGACGTGCAAAGCTGGGAAGAATGATCTAAATCCCTAAAGAAATCCCTAAAGAAATCCCCAGAGGAGGGGTTTTATTTTTAATGTGGGCCGATTTAACCCTGGAGGCTATCGCGATATATTATTTCATATATATATTATTTCAAGGCTAATAAATTGGATCCATTACTAAATAAGAGCGCCACCATTAAACATATCAAATTGCATAATTTTCAGATTAAAACTAGACGATTTTTTAAATCTATTTCCTGAGGCGATGCTTCTTTCGATTAAATTATACCAGGTAGAAAATTTAATAATGCAAAATATTTTATGAAATGATAGAAGTATTTAATAATGTAAAATATTTTATCACATGGGATGAACATCTGAGGAGCTTACCGACTATGAGATTTTTAGCTAATGCCGGAGATCCAGATATAAAATTAATAAATAAAGTAATTTATTTCTCTGATTTTTTTTTTTAATTTATTATTTATTTATGGAGTAGGTTGTTCGGACTTTATCGGATGGAGGTGTTTCGAAAGGGGTCAGATTTCGTTCCCTAGGGATTTTAGGACGAGCTAGGGACAACACGAGTGGCAAAACTTTATTTACAAGGTATCGTAAAAGCTTAAGTGTCCGCTTAATTAATTGAGGACCCAAGTGTGTCCACTTTGGGCTTTACAACCTCGAGCCGCAACCCTTTACCTCGTTGGATGTTACATTAATATCCTGGAAACGTTATTACGATAAATATGGAAATCTCGCTCCTTGCCTATCTCTGCTCGTATAAATTATGCATTGAAATGTGCCGGCCGAAATACGGGCCGATAATAGGAGGAAAATATTATTCCCTCTGCGAATGGCTCGGTTAACCTAGTTATTAGCATATAAATCTGCTCACCACTTGGCGGTACTTTTTAATTCCTCGTTCTTCTTTTTTTTTTTTTCCCACGCCTTGTTTTACCCACTTTTTCTGGCAACTTCGGAAAGCCCGCTTAAAACTTTAGGACGCTTTGGAATGCTTGAGAAAAATCTTCGGAAGCGTAACAAATAAATAATGAGATCATGGCTCATATAATAGTTGACTTTTTTTAACTCCCTGAACGCGTAAGGGCGAAACTCGTCTGACCGTGCAGGCAATACTCGACCAAACGTCGGCCGCCTTTAGGCGCTCTTAGTAGCCAGAAGGTTAATAAGGTTCGCAACTATATCTCCTTACGTAAATCCTCCAAAAAAATAAAGTACTTTTTAATACATGGTTTAAAAATATTTTATTAATGATTTGTGTATATCAAAGCATTTTATAAAATATACAATGTGCAAACCGCGTTACTCATTATTTATTCGACGATTTTTAGGGAGATACAAGAAAGGATTAATTTCTTGACGGAACGAATTAGTCGAAAACATGATTAAGCGATGATTATACGCTTTCGGTAATCCCTCGAAAATCTGTTTCCGAAAAAATTGGATATCGCGAAAGTTAATATAAATCTTAGTAAGCGTAAACGGCAAACTCAGACAGGAGGTAGACGTTAAATCGCCGCCTTAATCCCGTAATAAAGTAATAAACCTTATTTTTCGCATAATCGGCGCAATTAAAATTCCCGTCTGCCCACTAAGAGACTGTCTCGTAAATAATTCCCGATAATCCATTGATAACTCTTCAATGAATCATAGTGTCGCTTCAGACATATATTTTTTATCGCTTGGGGGCCGGAAAAAATACTACCCATTGTTTAATCCTTGCAATTGCAATTACAACATTAATCTTGTAAATTCCCTCTAAGGCACACACGTAATGGAATAATTGATTAATTAATTTAAAATATTAGAAATTTTAATCCAGGCGCCCGTTGCAAGAAGAACTGACTTTTAATAATGAAATTAAGTGTCGATATTAAATAATTAGATTAAATTATTCCATTTATTAATTTAACACGCCCGTGGGTCGTGGAGCAAGATTTGAGTCTTCAATTAACGTTGATATGATTAGTTGGACATGTTGATTTCTCACCTTAGCAACATTTATCTCTCGAGGGACTGAAAAACAAATGAAGGTCTTAAATCTGTAATGGAAAGTTGATTGGGATTATTCTAAAAGTGATATCATGTGTTGTTCTGCCTCTCGAGTAATTATGTTGCTTTGATTCCTTTTGCTTAGATAAGACAGGTGTTATCAAAGGTATAAACGATTCCAATGGTCCCCAACAATTTCCAACGATTTCTGTTAATATTGCGTTTTTGAGGTTATGTAGGAATTTTGGTCGCCTTAAGCCTTAAAAGTCTGGAAATAGCGTCGGATTTTATATAATAAACAATAATGCGTTTCGGTAACGAGTGACGGTTCGACCTTAAAATTGTTACAGGATTTTAATTTCTAGCGATTTCCAATGATTTCTGTTAATATTGCGTTTTTGAGGTTATGTAGGAATTTTGGTCGCCTTAAGCCGTCTACCGGACGAGATTTGCCGGTCCAGGGTGCTTTCAAGGCGTGAGCATACACGTAAATACGTGTTAAGCTCCAACTAGCTATGGTACGCCGTTGCTTGGGACTAAGTATCATGAGTTTCGAATTTCGAACAGATTACAACGAATTAACTAAGAGGAAGTTCGCATGTGGATGCAACTCTCGCAAGTGGAGGACCAGGGCACAGTGGACGCTGCGGCTGGAGACGCCTCGCGCAATTTTACGCTCGAAATTAACTTAAAACACTATTTCTCGATAAATAGAGGAGTCTCTACACTATTTAGAATTGGAAAATTGGATAGAAAATATTGGTGAACGATAATAAGCAAAAGAAACGCTTGTAAATGTAGAAAATCGGTCTTTTATGTCGGATGTCAAGCATTTCAAAATGGCTGCTACGGCTGGAGACGCCTCACGCAATTTTACGCTCGAAATTAAATTAAAACACTATTTCTCGATAAATAAAAGAGTTTATACACTATTTAGAATTTGAGAATTGAATAGAAAATATTTGTGAACTGTAATGAACGAAGGAAACACTTGTAAATGTAGAAAATCGATTTTTTAAGTCGGGCGTCAAGCATTTCAAGATGGCTGCTGCGGCTGGAGACGCCTCACGCAATTTTGCGCTCGAAATTAAATTAAAACACTATTTCTCGATAAATGGAGGAATTTCTACACTATTTAGAATTTGAATATTGGATAGAAAATATTGGCGAACGATAATAAGCAAAAGAAACGCTTGTAAATGTAGAAAATCGGTTTTTTAAGTCGAGTGTCAAGCGTTACAAAATGGCCGCTGCAGTCGAGACAACTTAACGCCTGAAATTACCATAAATTATTATTACTCGCTATATATTTCAACTTTCAGCATCGGATTATAAAATTTCGACATCTCTCTTGGGTATTCCACAGACTCCGTAATCGAACTACAATAGAACTAATCTAAGATATGTCTACAGATACGGCAGAAAAAAAAATGTCTTTCGGAGATAATGATAACAAACGCGAAGAAAAGACCGTAATAAGATGATTACACATTACGGATTTCCCAGTTCCGTTATCAGAGATTTGACAGCAATTTCCGATTTTAACTAGTGTTTATGAACCTCCTCCAAACTTATTATTTCTATTTAACTTCAGTTATCTGTCTTTAGATTTAGACGTTCGACCTGATCGATTCGGAGTGGGTTTATAACCCATTTATAAATCTCGACCTCTTCGTCATTACTTTACCGAAATGACATGGAACGCTTCAGTTCGTATAATTATCAAAGTGGACTGTAAAAGACTTCAACATAAATATAAATGACGGTAACCTGACGCACTTGAGTATTCAAAATGACCTTCCCACCCAAAAAGCGTACATATGAATTTTAATATATCAACGTAGAAAATATTTTTTACCGCCTTATGTTCCCACTTGAGGATTCAAAATGACCTTCCCACCAAAATGGGTACATATGAATTTTAATATATCGACGTAGAATATATTTTTTACCGCCTTTGACATCCCCTTAAAAAATGAAGAAGTTGCGTCGGGCACCAAGCAAGACTCCAGATACGTGGTGGCGTTCGTTTGCCAAATGTCTGATTTGCAATGGTTCGTGCTGGTGAACTTTTTTTCTTGATCTTTTTTTAAATGTCTTTTCAGCTGGTGTAAAGATATACCGATGGTGTAGGTGTACATTGTAAGCGCATTGCAGGCGTCGGGACGTTGGGCGCCTCCAGGCTTTCGATGGCCCTTAAGAAGCCATCTTCTAGAGGAGCAGGACACTCCTAGAATCTCGAGATGCTTTGGATACCCCGGATCGAAACCTCCTCGAGGAGCTCTAGAAGAGGTCGCCGTCGATGCCCAGGAGAGGAGTCTTGGTTCATAAGTCAGTCTTCTGCGAGATCCAGGACCTCATCGCGGCGACGCGGGTGTAGACTCCTGGGTAGTAGGGCTCTGCACATCCCATTCCCCAGGACACTATGCCGATCAATTTCCCATTCTGGACGAGTGGTCCTCCACTGTCTCCCTGTCGACGAAGAAGGAAAATTCTAAACTAAACAGCGGTTCAGAGGAACAACGATGAGGGAAGAACAATGAGCAAATTGTCGCCGACCAACAGTAGAGGTTTGATGCTGATCCGCAGCTTCCAGCGCATGTTTACAATTAAATTATATGGAATTAGAGTGAACATGTGAAGCACAAATCTACTGTCTCCCTGTGGACGAAGAAGGAAAATTCTAAACTAAACAGCGGTCCGGAGGAACAACGATGAGGGAAGAGCAATGAACAAATTGTCGCCGACCAACAGTAGAGGTTTGATGCTGATCCGCAGCTTCCAGCGCATGTTTACAATGATATTAAATGGAATTAGAGTGAACATGTGGAGCAGCAATCCACTGTCTCTCTGTGGACGAAGAAGGAAAATTGTAAACTAAACAGCGGTCTAGAGGAACAACGATAAGGAAGGAACAATAAATAAACTGGCGCGGACCAACAGTAGAGGTTCGATGCTGATCCGCACCTTCCTACGCATGTTTACAATGAAATTAAATGGAATTAGAGTGAACATGTGAAACACAAATACACTGTCTCTCTGTGGACGAAGAAGGAAAATTGTAAACTAAACAGCGGTCCAGAGGACAACAATCAGAAAGGAACAATAAATAAACTGGCGCAGACCAACAGTAGAGGTTCGATGCTGATCTTTTGATCTGCACCTTCCAACGCATGTTTACAATGAAATTAAATAGAATTAGAGTGAACATGTAGAGCACCAATCCACTGTCTCTCTGTGGACGAAGAAGGAAAATGCTAAACTAAACAGCGATCCAAAGGAACAACGATAAGAAACGAACAATGAGCAAACTGGCGCAGACCAACAGTAGAGGTTTGATGCTGATCTTCCGATCTGCACCTTCCAATGCATGTTTACAATGAAATGAAATGCAATTAGAGTGAAAAGGTGAAGCACCGATGACGATGACGTCCTAACGAAGGAGGTATCTAATGATGAACAGATTTCTCACCTGACAGGAATCCTTGCCGCCGGTCCTGACGTATCCGGCGCAGAGCATCCTTTCGGTTATCAATTGTTTCCCATACAATGAAGAGCACTCTGTTCGTGAGACCAAGGGAACGCTGACAGTTCTCAGCTGGTTTGACAGTTTGCCATTACTTCTCATGGCACCCCAACCTGTGACAGTTGCCACGGTGCCACTGGAGTAGCGCTCTGTCAATGATGGCAGAGAGATTGGACTGACATGGTCATTTAGTGTCAGTGGTGACTCCAACTAAAGTCATTAATCTTCATGAAAGATATGTTGAATAATGTTCATAGATTTATTCATTGGATAGCCCCTGTCATAATATGTTCATGTACGTGTGTAATTTCAGCCCTGATAACATGTACCCAGAAAGATTAATATGAACACTTTAAGATCATTGTAATAATTTCATATTCATTTTCTATTGTTCTAATGACACTATGTAAATGTCCCTGCCTTAAAAATGTTCTCAAATTGTTCATAGAGCATTTGGAATATTTTTTTAAAAATAAAAGTAGCTTTATTTTAATTTAAAAAATATGCCGACGATATGAAACTGATACGTTCGCCGAGTGGCAGATGTGACGTCAACCCAAGACGTTAATGTTCATGAAACATTCATGGAACATTCATGGGCCAATTCATTCGCTGATTTATTCATTGGATATTCCCGATTATGATAGCACCATGTCCGCGTATAAATTTCGAGCCCGAAACATACAAGTCTCCCATAAACAATTTAACACGTTCCATGAACATTCAGAATCCCAATACTCATAAACTCCACTCAGGGAACATTTTCAGTTAAACAATAATCCAGAATAATACAAATCAAGGGAAAAATAATTTTAGTGACTTACCCGAATTAATGCGATATCAAAATCGGAAAGATTCTTATCATAACTCTCGTGGATGATGATTTGTTCAGCCTGAACAACAGTTCCTTTTGCGTCCAGATTCGAGGAGCCAACTTTCACGGAAAAATTTCGAGCGAACGGCCTAATAATGATATTCAATTTTTATAAACAGTACGTCTTCCTTAATATGTTTAAACAATTTTTTTAACCCACCCTTTGACACAGTGTGCTGCTGTTATCACCCACTTTTCACTAAGTATGGCCCCACCGCAAATGTGTCGGTTATTGTATCGCAAAGACACCTGAAAATAATTACCATAAACATGAAATAGTCTATACTAAATTAATTATTTATATTATCTTCTTGACTTTCGCTGGACAAAAAAAAATATATGAAATTCACCTGATAAGGGTATCGCTCTATCGTCGTCGTTTGTCCTCCAACAATGCGACCACTTTCTTCGCCGAAAACTCCTAATAAACAATTAGAAGTAGAACTTAAAGAAGCCAAAGTTTACATTTTTTATGCACTATTAATATCCAGATAAGCCATATAAGATTCTGACACTCACGAAAGTTCAATTTTCTACAAAATTTATTTACGGACGTTTTGATAATTTTTTTTTTAAATAAAAAATCAAATTTCATGGGTGTCAGGACCTTCCTTATAGTTTTCATGTTCACGTTCTAAAGTTTCATACGATTCGGTGAACCCAGTTTGGGGAAATGTTTCATGAACGATTGACTCCACTTTCATATCCCCTTAATGAACCGCTTTTTATGTCACTTAAGATTAATTAACATGTTTACCATTACAAAATAAATGAAAGGTAAACGTGCATAAGTTCTGGTGTTCATTGTATTAGTTGATTTATTGCTTTTTATGTCACTAAACCTTTATTACCATGTTTACCACTGCAAAATAAATGAAAGGTAAACATGCATAAGAATTTCTGGTGTTCATTCTATCAGCTGATTTATCCAGTGGATTTTTTTTCTTGCTCTTCAAGTAGTTTGAGGTTAGGACTCACCATTGCCCAGAATAAAAATGGCCGCGAAGACCCACGAAGAAGTAAACATGATGGCGCCTCTGAACGAACTATGCGTCCTGCTTGCAAGGCTCTTCTCTTTTAACCTAAGTGGGTTAATTGATTTCTAATCGAAATGGCCACTGTAATCTGGAAAAAAAGGGAATCCATCTCGACCTACTTTTTGCCCAGCCTAATTACCGACTAAAGGAAATTCGTCCGAGAAAATGGCTGCACGTTTGTAATAAAGCCGGATTATTGAAGCACTGCCATGCAATTATATATGACCTCTTTGACAAGTACCTTAACCATGCATTATGCATTTTACATGTTACATTGTCCACACCGTAAAAATATTTTGTCGGACGCTTACAATTAGCTTAACCCATTTTACGGAATTTTACAACCTCTAAGTGAATTCAATATGGCGGGAGACCTTTGTTTAAAAATAGAATTTTATCGGTGGTATTTATGCCAAATGAGTGAGGTTTAATTTTTGTTAGAACGAAGTGATTAACATAAAATGATTTGGATGACGTTTCTTTAAAGACAGCTAATGACGATGACCTGGATTTCTTAGAACGTAATTAATCACCGATTTCGGAAAACCGTCTCATCTTGAATAGATGGAGTCATCGTTAAAGTTAATAAAAAAAGAACTGCTAACAAGTTTCATCACTCGTTACTAAAGGTATTATGACATTTTATGTTCTGTTTTTTTTTTTTTTTTATTTTGTAATAGAGTTTCTGCACTGTAGAGTCTTAAAGGAATGATTCATCTCATCAGCTGTTTTTAATGCAGTATTTACCGGAAGTCATTTTAATGAATTAATGACAGGCGTTCGGAAAAATCCTTTAGATTATTTTATATTAAATATAATTTATTTAATATAAATGTTTATATTAAATAAATTCTTATAAATAGTTATTTATCATCCCAACAAAATGCAACAATGGTGCATGTCTTTCTTAAAAAGTTCTCTAACAACTTTTAATATCTCGATGTCTAGTTAGGTATCGATATATAAACAACTATACAGAGTCGGATTATTTTGGAGACATTTGTCTTGAACAATTGTTCCGCAAGAAGCAACAATGGTGCATATCTTCAATCAGAAGTTCTGCAACAACTTTTGATATTTCGACGTTATGTATCAATATATAAACAACTATACAAACTCTGATTATTTTGGAGACATTTGTCTTGAACAATTGTTCCGCAACAAGCAACAATGGTGCATATCTTCAATCAGAAGTTCTCCAACAACTTTTGATATTTCGATGTTATGTATCAATATATAAACAACTATACAGAGTCGGATGATTTGGGAGATATTTGTCTTAAACAATTTCAACAAAGGCTCGTGATACAAGGCGCATCATTCATTGTTGCTGGAAAGCCCTGGTCGAACCCAAGGGAAGCAGGGTGTCGAACTATTAGCCAACATTCCTGATAGCTTGGGGTTATTGATTGCCGGCAACTATATCGAAAGCATGGCTAGTAGCGATCCTAACACCGAGAAGAGCAACTACCTCCCCATTTCCGGACTTCCGGTAATCCGCTCTGTCCTCCATGAGGATCCGCGACAACTCGATAATTAACGAGAAAATCCTGGGAATTATTACGCCTAATTATTCATAGCCTTTAATGCCGAGCTTAACTACTTATCATTGTCAGAGAAAAGGTAAATCCACCGAGGAGAAATGTCAATTTTGCGGCGCGCATTTCGATTCTTCCGTCCCTAAAACATTTTTTCATAACACAGTCTATTATTTATAAATAATTGTTTTACGTCCCACGGCATACGAAGAAACTAAACCTTAAAACATTTTTTCATTACACATCACTAGTCCATTATTTATAAATAATTGTTCTAAGTCCCACGGAATACGAAGAAACTAAATCCTAAAACATTTTTTCATAACACAGTCTATTATTTATAAATAATTGTTTTGCGTCCCACGGAATACGAAGAAACTAAACCAGAGTGATATTACTAATACACCACTTAACAATTTATTATCTCTTAAGGCTCATTATTTTTCACAATTTTAAAATCCACTAACAGAAAGAAAATGTTTAACATATCATCGTCACAATATACTTTGTTGAATTAATAAAATGTATGAAAATATTTTTAACTTCGTCAGCTGGAATTTACAGGAGTTATTAAATAATTATCACAACGTTGTAACTATATTTCCGATTTAACACAGTTGCGGAGAATTTATATTTATAAAATATTTCGGAAAAGCGCTTTCATTCTTTGGAATTCAGATTTTTTGTTGATAAGGCTTTGATATGTTTCCTGGCGAACCATTATTGAGATAAATTGCATGCATGTGCTATATTAAAGTTGTAGTGCTAGTTTAGGTTAGGTTAGGTTAGGTTAGGTTAGTTTTCCTAAAAGTGTCGGCACCTACTGATTCCTTTTTGTAATTTCTAACTATTGATTAATATATTAGAAAGAAATTAAAATTGCCAGTAATAAATATCACGTAATGAAAAATATTAGTTGCTTCCAATTCTGCCACGATAGTTGCTATCGAACTTAATCCCTTTAATAAACATTACCAAGCCGTATCTATTATTAACTGCCACCCATAAGTGCAAATTAAAATCACCTTGGCCCTCTTCCGATAAGGATTACTAGTTATCTTTACTATACTAAATGGCGAACAATGGCTAAAATAATACTAAATAGTGACCACTTCCGGCGAACTCACCACACCAAAAGAACCGACGAAATCTGCGTTCACGATTCCAGGCGTCTGGGCAACATTTCAGCAACAATTGTCCTGTTTTAACAATCAGCACTTTCCGTAGGTCCCCCACTGCCCCCGGAAAATCGAAAAGAGGAAATTCAGAAAGCCAAAATGGCGGCGTAGACAACCGGAAGACACTGGAACGGACCCGAAGACACGATCGCGTTGGAGGAACCAGTCCTAGAAAGTACGAGAAAGGATCCTCCTCCCCAGGAAAAATCTTCAAACCCGATATTCCGACATTTCCCGACAGACCTTGAAGAGTTCCTCCTCGCTGGGGGGGAAATCTTTGAAGACGAGGACCGATTTTCCGACTTTTCCCCGGCGAGAGAGCTCTGCCACGTGGCGTCGCGACAAAGTTGGACGACAAAGTCGCGCCGAGGAACAATCCTGTAAACTTCGCAGCCTTCCCAGAAAATGCCGGAGCTAGGATCGGTTTTACAGCCTGATGTAATATCGATAATTAGCCTCAGCGGCTCTCAATTCTAGGCTGGTCTCGTTACCGAGACACAACGCTCGTTACGCGTGTCGTTAACTTCAAGCGGCGCTCTAGAAACCTCCCATTCTCGCCAGGATCAACAAACAATTACACGCCAAGGATGTTGTGTTGCAACAAGTACCTCCTATCCGAGGCTTTCCTTCTTTACTGCTAAGATAATGGCGGGGTCCCTTACACTCCGGCTTTTTTCGTTACCCAACTTCGCACCGAGGATACGCGAGTGTAGACGCCAGGATATCCTGGTGATGCACATTTTGCTCCCCAGGACACTATTCCCACCTGCCTCCCGTTGTGCACCAAAGGTCCTCCAGAGTCACCCTAGGGAAAAGAGTCGACAGTTCATTTTGGTGCTTCACCTATGATGCTTGTGAAAGGGATGATCGGGACTGATTTGAGGTTTTCCGTAATCATTCGGTGATTAGACTCTGCAAGAGTCCCAGTTGGAGATGAGATGGTAAATGGGAGTTGGTCTGACTGATGTTGGGCTCAAAGACACCTAAGACTGGAGTTGGAAGATCCCTCCAAGTCATTGGACCCTCTTCTACAAGGGTATCCTGATCTACACACCGTCACCCAGTTATTAGATGACGATGAGCAAAGTTGGTCTTGGTTTTGGTCTTGAAAAGAGAACAAGACCAAGTCCAGGCCAAACCCTAACCACATTTGTATGGCAAGGACCATAATCATTCGGTGATTAAACTTTGAAAGACCTAAGACTGGAGTTGGAAGATCCTTCCCAATCATCGGACCCTTTTCTACAAGGGTATCCTGATCTACACACCGTCACCCAGTTATTAGATGACGATGAGCAAAGTTGGTCTTGGTTTTGGTCTTGAAAAGAGAACAAGACCAAGTCCAGGCCAAGCCCTAACCACATTTGTATGACAAGGACCATAATCATTCGGTGATTAAACTTCGAAAGAGTCCCAGTTGGAGATGAGATGGTAAATTAGACTTGGTCTGACTGATGTTGGGCTCAAAGACACCTAAGACTGGAGTTGGAAGATCCCTCCAAGCCATCAGATCCTCTTCTACAAGGGTATCCTAATCTACACACCGTCACCCAGTTATTAGATAACGATGAGCAAAGTTGGTCTTGGTTTTGGTCTTGAAAAGAGAGCAAGACCAAGACCAGGCCAAACCCTAACTTTGCAAGAGAAAGATCAAGACTCGACCGTGCATGACCATTTTGCTGGTCACCATTATCAAGGCTTCAAGTGCATCGGGCAACCGAATGATCAGGGTTCCCTCTCCCGTCATCCTAGATCAAGAATGACCATCAGATCCGTCCCCGTCATTTTCAGCTACCCTGGATGACGTCCTCACCTGGCAGGCGTCCTTCCCGCCCGTCATGTACCCAGCGCACAGCATCCTGTCCGTGACCACGTTCAGATGCAAATACGTCTTCTGACACGTCTTCTGGTCGACGATGGGCACCATCAGGGACTGCAGCCTGGTGGACATCGAGCCGGTGGGCTGGAAAACCGATGTGGCGAGTCACTTAGCGAAATGATGAAACGCCGTTCTCGTAACTCACGGTCGGTCGCTCGCCCGGGAAGAACTTTTTCTCGTAGCCGAGGAAAGGCGCCCGATCGCCGCCACAAGAAACTTTATCGTTCCAGTTATTCCCGACATTCGGCCATTAGCGAGCTCGTAAACTCACCGTGGTTTTTCCCCATCCCGTAACCACCGCCGTAAGCCCCGTGGTCACGGCGGACGAAGAGGAAGCCAAGGTGACGGCGCGCGCCGAACTGCTGAACGGCAAAGCCTTCGTCAGCTGAAATTGGACCAGTCATCAAAACCATCGTCCAGATCATCATTCGTCATCTGGAAGACTCTAAACGACCGTGGAAATGCGTTTCACTGCAATTGATCGACACCTCTGCAGCGCGTTAGAAAGTGCCCGAGAAATGGACACAGTTATTCTGGTATCTTAGAACCGTGATCTACAAAAATCGTGACTTGGCGTGCACAGAATGATTCCTTATAACAATCTGCACAAAAAATGCCTCTTTGGGTTTTCTTTATAAGTTGACGGTTCTCGAGTTATTGGGGATTTAAGTTCGACCAATCAGAGAAGCGCGTCGGGATTGTCGCTCTCCTCTCATTGGCTGAAATTCAATCGCTTGTAACTCGGAAAGTACTGACTTTTTAAGAAAATTCAAAAGGACATTTATTGTTTGAAAGTCTGTAAGGAACAATTGGCTGTGTTTCTCGGGCTGAAATAGTGAAGTATATGTATATATTTTTTAAAATATATCAGCAAAATGATGAAGAACCTTTATCAGGGCGACATCGTAATCGTAACTATCGTCGTCGTACATTTCGTGGAAAATTATGGAAGATATGCCTGAGATGAGATGACCTCCTTGATTAACATTAGCGCTGCCAATTCGGATTTTTAAAGCCTTTGGGGTCTTCCTGAAAGGAGAGAAATTAAAGTCGAATTTTCACCGATTTCCTTAATCGCAAATTTGAACAATTGAAGTTTCCAACGATTCGAGAAAAGCTTTATAAATATTTTGACTTTGTATATATGTAGAATGACCCTTTCATATCACCTTAATTAAATCAAGAAGTTAAAGCCAGCTAATTTAATTAAATTAATTTTCGTTATAGGAATTATTAATGGAATTAAAATGAACCCTAATTGTATGGCTGAGATAAGAGTTTAAAAATGATAAGCAGATTAATTTCTGTCACTCACCCAACGAGACAATGAGCGGCTGTCAAAATCCATCGGTTAGATATTATTGAACCGCCACAATCGTGAACTCCATTGTACTGGATTGACACCTATGACAATTGTTGCAAGTAAAGCAGATTAAAAAGATGCCATATATCACGTTACATAATTACAGGTCTATTAAAATAAATGATAAGGGGAGAATATACGTGACAATGAGGAAACAAAAAAGATTCTTTTTCTGCCTTGACATCCTTGAAGGCGATTAATCCTTTGGCTACTAAGAGCGCCTAAAGGCGCCCGACGTTTGGTCCAATTTCGCCTGCACGGTCATAGGAATTTCGCCCAAATGTCGGAATGGCTCCGCGTTCAAAAGGTTAATAGTCCACCTCCACTGATAATCACCTGATATGGATAACGCTCTATCGCCGCAGGTTGTCCGCCTATGATCTTGAATTCAAACCCGAGAATGGGCGATACCGAAAGGGAAATTATGAAAACTAAGACGGTCTTTGACATCCCGTGAATCTTTTCACCAAACGACATTACTGACCAGCGAAACATTACGACCGAAACTGATTGCCTTTGCTGGAGGTATCAGCGATAATGTACCTGGATTTCCTCTGATAAGACAAGATAGTCTCATTGTGTAGTGATGTAAATCGAAGTCAACTCGCGGAAAGAAAAGAACTCAATTTTTTAAGGTTATATGAAAGAGTGGTATATGCGTAACTTGACAATTACAAATAATGAAATTAGGGAAGTATTCAAGGGATGAAAATTAAGAAGTTACGTGTTACATTAACAATGTTATTTCACAGGGTGGTATATTATGTAACGCGTAACTTGGCAATTCCCAAGGGACTTATTAAATTTGTAACTTGACAATTCCAAATACTGCAATTAGGGAAAGATTCATGGGACAAAAATGATTAGAACTTACGTATTACCTTAACAATGTTATTCCACAGGGTCGTATGTTATTTAACACTTAACTTGGCAATTCCGAAGGGAATGTCGGTAGAAATAAGTGAAGAGTCAAAGTAGAATCGCAGAAAGTGGGCGCAAAAAGGGATCTCACTCAAAATGGTAATGCACCTCGGCAGAGGAGACGTTTCCGATCCTTCCGGAAAGGAGCATGGCCTCGAGCCTATCAGGATAATGCATATATCATAACGGCATATAAATCACTCGTTACGATCCAATTGAAACGTCCTCCGGCATTCGGCGTCGTAATCGAAGTCATAAAAAATTATATTGTCCAACACCCATTCGGTGTTTACGGTGCCTCCTAAGTATGGGAGCCTCTTAAAGCCATTACCTTGAGAAGCACACGAGGCGATCCTGCCTCGTAAAATTTTCCTAACCTCACTTTCTAACATTTCTAACATTTCCAATTAAAAATGGCGGACATAAATGATTTGACACCATTTTACAAAATGAGATAATGGGACTAACGTTATCTGAGGTATACCGTAATGGGGCTCGACTTTTATTAATTCATCACATATATATGTATAATTATTAAGGAAATATGGAAGGTATATTATTGCACGCTGATAAACAATGACGAGGATAAGCATGACAAAATCGGTTCTACTTTGAGTTTCGGTAATGCAAAGTATCGTTAGTCACATTGGCGATGCCAAGAATCTAATTGCTCGGTTAAATAATTGTGCCCATAATTATGAAAGTGGTCAAAGTCATATATTTTTTGCTTCGAAATTACATTGAATTAATTTCGTTTGAAATAATATGGCGTGAAATAACTGATAAACACAAATTTTTTTTTTTTTTTTTAATTTTGACTTAGACCACTTTCATAATTATGGGCACAATTAATAAATGACTAAGTTCAATTAAGCAAAGGTAATGTCATGGTATTCTCGCTGATGACGAGATATGTGTTTTAAACAAGTGTTCTGTAATTAAGGGCAGGGTTTTTATGAATAATGTGTACAACGATTATGATTAATTGGCAAATCAATTTCTGAGACTGATTATATCGGGTTTCGTCGACAATGGAGGTGGAATATCTAAGAGATGATTTTCACGAGACATCTCGATACTCCAGGTGAGTCGTTCATTAGGGAAAGCTCAATTAAGGAGGAACCGATTGGCAAAGTCGAGAGGATCTACTTGAGAAATTGTAACCAGGTGCAAATCACGGGACAATTATTTTCTGGAGACCTTTAAGTGTAGTCGATCTTACCCCTGGAGATGGAACGGAGACGCCTTCTTTTCTTATTTTATTCCTGATAAAAAAGAAATGTAATCGGAGTTCCTCTTACGCCTACTTATTGCTGAGCAATATTATTTATAAAATATTAAAGATTACTTGGAACTTTTTTTTATTTCATTCGGGTTAAAAAAAGAAATGTAATCAGAGTTCCTCTTACGTCTCCTTATTGCAGAGAAATATTATTTATAAAATATAGAAGAAACATTGCTTGGAATTGTTCATTACGCAGGATCAGTAGGTTATGATTTATTACCAAAAATTGAAATTAATTCCGAGCACCTCACACGAATTGCATCCTAATCAAAGTTATTTATTTCTCTTCATCCTACGGCCGCCGGAATAGCGTTAGAAAAATTCCGTTAATTAAAACGGAATTAAATAAAAAAAGGAAAGCGCTGATTCTTTACATTTCCCCGGGAGCGGGTGTACTTCCCCGCAAAATAATTCTGTGCAAACCGCCGTATCAACGAGAAGGGGGAAAAAAAAAAGGGAAGAAAAAGGTAATTAATTCCCCGTTTAACGACTCGCTGCGGTCTAATTATAGTCGGTCGAGGTGAATTTTTCTCCGGATGCACCGGGCCCAAAACCATCACTGTACCCACTAATTGTTCTACTGGTATTGGCCCCTGCAATCTCTTCCAATCAATGAACTCGACGTTCTCGTTCGAAACTCGCAATCAATTCTAATTTGCCCATCTCTACGCGTCGGGCACTATTTTCAGCTGTGCGGGGGAATTGCCTAACTATTTCTGCCGGCCGACACGTGGATACGTTACCGACAAATGCCCATGTTAATTTACGCCCTGAATACCGATTGGATAATGCCATTAAAGCTTGTACCCTGCCACGATAAAAGTCCTAACAGAAGTTAATTGGAATGATCGATCGTTTAAGATGATATTTAAAGCGCTGAGAAATTTAATCCATTGACCCTTCGAACACGGAGTCATGTCGACATATGGGCGAAATTCGTATGACCGGGCAGGCGATATTGGACCAAACGTCGGGCGCTCTTAGTAGGTAGAGTTAAAGCTTGCACCCATCGCCCTTCCACGATAAAAGTCTTAACAAAAGTTAATTAGAATGATCGATCGTTTAAGATGATATTTAAAGCGCTGAGAAATTTAATCCATTAACCCTTCGAACACGGAGTCATTACAACATACGGACGAAATTCCTCTGACCGGGCAGGCAATACTGGACCAAACGTCGGGCGCTCTTAGTACGTGAAGAGCTAAAGCTTGCACCCACCGCCCTTCCACGATAAAAGTCCTAACATAAGTTTCAATTAAAATTAAAAATAGAATGATTTGGGACACTTTCTATAGAACCGATCATTGACGTTATGTCTTCATGGTATCAATATATGTACCGAGACCAGAAGTAGATATGAAATAAGGGTAAGTGAATTTAAAAGCTGTGCCCCTCGAGGGCCGTACTTAGCATATCTAAGGTGACTACACATGCATACATGCATATGGAAGGGTGTGCTCGGATAACAAGGAGGGAAACTCCTTGATTGTCAGCCCCGGCGCTCTGGAGGCCTTAAGTGTCGTCGTACCGGTTGTCAGAGCATACATGCTCGTCTTCATCTTACCCGACACGTTTCCACGCCTCGGGTCATGTTACTCGCGCAAACCATTTTCTCCAGGACAGATTTGTACGCTTGCACACCCGACATTCGCGTATTCCGTATCAGTGGAGGCGCCGACGTCATCTGCAGATGCAGCTGCGAGTCTGATAGGGCAGAATCAACCGGTCTCAACATTTTCAGGATTTCTGCGACTTCTGGAACTGACTTTTCACTAATAACCTTTCCGACGTCATTGGTCCATGCTTGTACCTTTTTTTGAAACGTTAAAAGTCGATTTAACCCTTTTTTTAATTATATTTTGCCATTAAACCCTTTATGGGATATGGATATAATCGTTCATGAAAATTTCCTCCAAAGAGCGTGTACCGAATTAAGCGGAATATCCCGACACCCATGAAATATGATTTCTTTTATCATAAATTCTGAAAATATCTATAAACAAATTTGTTCATATTAAAGTTTCATGGGCGTCAGGACCTTCCTTATAGACTCCATGTTCACGTTGTAAAGTTTGAAACGATTCGATAGACCCACTTCGGAGGAAAGTTTCATAAACGAGACCTCTCTGCTGCCACTTTCGCGTCCCCTTAAACACTAAAGATAAAAACGTGCTTTGGAGCCAAATTTAGATATTAATGAGGATACTAATCTTTAGTTTGAAGGATAAGGGAAATTTGAAGAACCTGTCTTTTTCACAGGCCATCGAAAATTGGTTATTATTAGCTTGTTGCATAAGGATTGGAGATCAAGCGGGCGCAAGTTGTGGCCCGGAAGTTCACCGACGCCGCCACCAGGGCGGCGCTCCACGCGCTTTCGCTGTGGCTTTGAACGGATATCTGTAATGCGAATTCAATCCGAAGCCCAAATTGAATTTCTGGGGAAGAAAAAAGGAAATCCGGGAGGGTCCATGCATTTAAAACTCACTTCGGAGCGGTTCGCAGCTTCGACGTCGGGCGAAACGAGAGCGTCCTGCAATTTCGATTGCGCGGAAACGATTTCCTTCTTGTAATCGGTTTCCAAGTACCGCGGATTGATGGGATACGCAGAAACGATGCTCGGGGAAACATAAAGAGGGCTTCGGACCTTTTCCCCCGAAAGGAAAGCACGCGTATTCCCGGAAGAGTGGATTTATCGACTTGTGGAACGTTGTTTAAGGGCAAACGCGACGCCCAAAAGAGAGGTTAGGTCGTTAGTCTTGGACCACGGGACTTGGAAACAATTTTTAATTTGTATTCTTTCTTCCAGACAGAAAGTCACTTTAATACTGAAGATTTATCGACTCGTGGGACGTTGTTTATCCCTTTGAACACGGAGCCATTTCGACATACGGGCGAAATTCCTCTGACCGTGCAGGCAATATTGGACCAAACGTCGAGCTCTTAGTAGCCAAAGGGTTATTATAATAATTAAGGCCAAACACGTTAAATCGTTCGTTTTGGACCACAAGACACGGAAACAATTTTTAATTTGTATTATTTCACTTCCAGATCGAAAGTTACTGTAATGCTGAAAATTTATCGACTCGTGGGACGTGGTTTATCCCTTTGAACACGGAGCCATTTCGACATACGGGCGAAATTCCTCTGACCGTGCAGGCAATATTGGACCAAACGTCGAGCTCTTAGTAGCCAAATTACTTTAATACCGAGGATGTTGTTTAAGGCCAAACGCAAAATCTCCCTGTGACGTCAGAGGCTCACTTATTGTCCGGCATTCCGAATGTATATTATCAATGATATTAAAAATACTTTATCAGGATAGGTACGATTTAGTTAATAATTAAACTCCGGTGATTTCCTTTATCCAGGGCCGCAGATTTGCAACGTTGCTGTAAACTCCAGGATACCTCGGCTTGGCACATCCTAATCCCCAGGATACGATTCCGTAAAGAGTATTATTGGCTACCAAAGGACCCCCAGAATCTCCTTGGCATGCGTCCTTTCCTCCCTTATCATAATATCCGGCGCATATCATTCTGCTTGTAATATTGTTCACAAACTTGTACGCCCGTTCGCAAATTGTATGCTCGACGATTGGCACCGTCACTTTCATTAGATCCCTCGTACTGAGTCCACCTTGCTATGTTAACAAAAAAACACAGAAATACTTAACAAAACAGCAATAAAATCGAATAATATTTAATTTAACCTTTAATGCTCTATTTCGGATAATTTTCAATTTTTCATTTCGGAACTGTTCGTCCGAAGGATCCTTTTTTTTCTTTAAATACGAAGTAGTTCGCTTACTCTGAGAAAAATNTATTAATTTACCGAGAGTGCGCCCCATCCTGTAATGTTAACTAATCTTCCTGCTGGAGGCTCCTTATCACCGAGTTTGAGGGGTTGCACATTTCTTCCGAGATTAATCTCGCCGTCGATCTGGTGGAATTATTTTCTAGTTATTTGTTTCACGGATGTTAATTTGTTTAATACCTATGTCTTATAAAAAGTTCGAAATGGACGAGACTTAGTTGCAGGAATTATTTAGGGATTTGTTAATCAGTCAATGGTATTACTTCCAACTGATAAGACGTCGTAATTGGTTATTGACGTTATCATCAATTTTTGTTTCTTCTCCCGTACAATTGTTGGCCTGATTAGTTTTACTTGACTTAGTGAGCGTGTTTTTGTATCAAAGAAATCTCACAAAGTTTGTACCTCTTCTGAGTCTCACCTTGTACAAATGTGTACATAAACTTTTTTTAAATTTTCAACAATTTCTTACCTCCAACAAAGCAATGTCGTAATCGATGGCTGCAACATTGTATTGTGGATGTCGGATGATTCTCCGAATGTCATACAATGTACCATTAGATCGGTCTTTGTTGCCAGCACTGACTTGATAGTATTGTGGTGATAAACTAAAACACGAACAAAGTTGCAAATTGCACCACCTCGTACTTCTCAGAATAAGCAGGAATTAAAAAATTGCCAAATAAAATAATTAAAATTCTAATAAATCTAGTTATTTAAGAAATTATTATTATTGCATATTGTGATAAGAAATATTGAATAATTAATAATGTTATCGTCCGGTATTGAGGTTACGATGACTTCGAAAATATTCGACAAATCGATATTTCGTTTTTTCAGGAATATATATTATAATCATATGCAGTGACAACACTGAAAAATGTTTATAAATATTGAAATAAATAATAAAGGGAACTGTGATTTACTTAACGCAATGGCCGGCAGTCACTGCCCATTTACTGCTGATAATGGAAGCGCCGCAAATGTGGGAGTTGAAAATTTGGAAAGAGAGCTGATAAGGATGGTCTTCGATAGTCGCTTCTTTTCCTCCCACGATTCTCCCATCCGGCATAGACGGTCGTATCCTTGGTACAAATCCTATGATATGTACAAACAAACAGTAATTAACAATAAAAAAACAATTATTTTCATCCCCCAAGCTTTGCGAACTCTAAGCGCCATTTTTAAACTTCTTTCCCTTCCAAACCGAAGCAAATAATCACACGCGACGCCTTAAAAAATTGTTTAAACAAAACTGCACATAGTTCATAACTTCATTTCAATACAATACACTTCAGGTAGATGAAATTCACCGTAATGGCACTTGGGATGAAATAAAAATAAATTTCCAGAAATAGTTTCTCCCTTTCGCTTGCATTACACGTCTGTTGCGCGGTGGCGGGAAATTTTGAAAAACGAAAGAACAAATCGAAACTCCCGAGCAGACCGAATTTTGCAATCACTTCATCGGCTTTTCGAGGGCACGTTTAAACTTTTTTTTCCGACAAATTCTTTTTTTTTTCGAGAGAGAGAAAAAAAGAAGAAACTGTTTTTTAACGTCACTCACCGAAACTCGCAACGCCGAGGAGCGGAAGAATCAGAATTCGAAACATGGCGCAGCTGCACGCAATTCGCCGATCTCCGTTGCACCTGCCGCGTCTGCATTTATATGCACTGGGTATGTCCCCGGCAATTTGTGCAATAAGGGGAATCCTTATCTTCGGCAATATCGCAATTATTGCCGATCGGCAACAAGAGGAGGCGCGAGATTCTCCGCCGCGAAGTATAACCTCCCATAACCTCTTAATCAGAGCGACGCTGATAACGAGAGATAATTTTAACTGATAATGCACGCGATACAAATGATAACGATCACATAACCTCAATGCCATTGAAGAATTTCTCTCGCGAGGATTAATAGACTTGCAGCTTGTAAATCGATTGTTATATCAAGTTATCGATAACGACATAACAATCGGTCTAGTCGATAATATTTCTATTACATTTTGTTATGTAAAGTTATCATCATCGATAATTTTATATGACAAACATTTAATCATCAGAGAATTATTTTTGCAACCATAAATTAACGGTCTTATTTTTTTCTAGTCGCAAAGTGATATTGATAATGATATGACATTACATAACAATTTGTAATGCAACGAATTAATACATGATCAAATGCATGCTTTGACATAATCTCACATAACACGATATAACGCAAATATTACTAATGAAATACTCTCGATTCTATCAATTCCAAAACAATATCAATTATCGCTCAAACGATTAATAATCGAAAAAAGAAATTGAAATTCTGGTAAATTATTTTACAAATCACTAACAAGTGCATGCTTCGACATAACCTAACATAACACGATATAACGCAAATATTACTAATGAAATACCCTCGATTATATCAATTCCAAAGCAATATCAATTATCGATCAAACGATTAATAATCGAAAAAAGAAATTGAAGTTCTGGTAAATTATTTTACAAATCACTAACAAGTGCATGCTTCGACATAACCTCACATAACACGATATAACGCAAATATTACTAATGAAATACCCTCGATTATATCAATTCCAAAGCAATATCAATTATCGATCATACGATTAATAATCGAAAAAAGAAATTGAAATTCTGGTAAATAATTTTTGCAATTCACTAACAAGTGCCTTTACGCAAAATTCAGGGTGGATGAGTGATAAGCGTAATCGGACACGTTGCAGCTTCATTGGGGAACCACTGCAGTGTTTTTCTTTATCAGCGCGTAGGTGTGCACGCATACATGCTTGGTCGCGTATTCACCTGTACGATCAATTGCGTCCATTGTATTCGGTACAAACGGTATTGTACCGATATCCGCATTAATGTCGGCTCGAATAAATCGCCCCAGCGGTTCAATGCGGTTTCGTTAATTGCATCGCCGCGCCGGCTCTTTTGTTTCACATTATCACCTCGCGAATTATGCGCCTTATCGTCCCGAATGAGTCGATTAACAAAGCTTCGGTGATTTTGTCGCTATCATGAACCGGCGATTTGTCAAGACGCTTTTCTCAATGAAATGAGGTATCTTATGAATCGATGCCGGCAAAATTCATAGGAATAATTAGTTATTATCTTTGCAAGCCATGTATACATAAAAAAGTTAGAATATTGATAAGACTATTTTCCAAAACTTGATGCGTCGAATAATTTGGAATTTTAATACGTGATTATGGAGGCCCTAATTGCGATTTTATATAATCGTAAAAATTTCTTGTCATATATACATAAATGAAAATTAGAATATTGATAAGACTATTTTCCAAAACTTGATGCATCGAATAATTTGGAATTTTAACACGTGATCATGGAGGCCCTAATTACGATTTCTTACACTCGCGAAACTTCGTTTTTCGAAAGCAAAATTGTTTAATTATTCTGGACATGAAGGAGAGGAAATTTTCTTCGAAACTTAAATTCCCTGAGTTTTGAAACATACATTAGAACGCGTGTTATTACGTGACATTTCATTATTATAGAATATTTCATCCAGGGGATATGAGAGAAATTTATTGCACCGCAGAAGTCAATAATTGCGGATTCGCAATCCGAGGTAATAAAGCCACGAGGAGGGCCTTTATCGCCTTGCAATTGCGTTGCGTAACAATGGCGTTAAGAAGGCATCTGTACTTAATCGCCATCGATCGGAAGTGATAAGAGACAAGCTACAGTTTGCAGTTTTTTTTTTTTTTTTAATTACTCGTATTACGCAGTCGTCTGATACCCAGCACTTGTCTCGTGGCCGAGTTCTCTCGATTGAGAGGTTAGGATTTTTTCCACCTCGAAATGACTTTACATTTGTCATTATCGCTCATTTTCTAATATATAAACAATGCCTGAGCGAGGAGAAAAAGCCTGGGAATCGCAATTGTCTAATGATAGGAAGTGTACAGCGCTAACGTAGAAATTATTCTCAAAAGGTTTTCTAAAAAATGAAATTTCACGAGATTTCTAAGTCGAATAACATTTGTTAACAGATATGCTTAGAACTGTATATAAAAAGTAAAATTTCATGAAATGTTGTTTAAAAATATTTATTAACAGGTGTTCTTAGAATTTTTTTCTATAAAAAATGGGATTTCATGAAATAGATGTTCTTGGGAGACGATTCGGTGCACCCAGTTCATAGAAAAGTTTCATGAAGGGGAACTCTATGGCGGCACTTTGACATCACCTTAAGGGGCAGTAAATGTACTATTACCTACTATTACCGATCGAATTTCTTCCGTCGATTTAATTCCATTCGAGCCCCTCGGCAAAGTAAATCGAGAACCTCGCGGTTTATTCCCCAGCGTCGTGTCTAGGGGAAAGAGCTGGGGGAAAAAGCGCCTTTCGGCGTTCCTAGGGACTTCTCGCGTTCCGGGGAATCCTCGCGTCGCGAGAAAACCGACCGGGGGAGGACGAAAGGGGTGAAAGAGAGAAAGGGGATGGAAACAACGCTCCAGGAAGGAACTTAAACGAGTTTCAAGGAGTTCGATAGGTGGCCCCAAGAATCTCATCGATATCGTTCTCGATTACGGATTAATTATCGAATTCGGATCGACGCGCCCTCCGGTGGCGGGATTTTCAATTAACGGGCTGTTTCTTGCTCCTCTCTCGAGGCGTGAATTCTTTACGAGGTTCCAGCTTCCTTAATTAAAGCTCTTTCTGCTAATCGTCACAGGGTTGATTATTAATAGTCCGAGCTTTGCTACTCGGTGAAAGCTCTGATCATTTTGGGGGTGCAAGGAGCTTCCCGAAGCTTTTCCAATTTTTTCCTTTATTAGGAAAAACCAGCATAAAGGGTGGAGGCCCTATCGTCTACAGTTTTCTTTTTTTTTATCACCTCCACCGAAATTTTTTAACCCACCATGATCGAATCGGGCGGAATTAAGGTGAAGTGAAACCCCCTTCAAATCAGTCGATTCGAGTACGACACTTTTTTTTAAGGGTATTAGACCAAACTGTCCGAAACATTGATACATCACTTCTGATCATCTAATAATTGTCCCTACACATTGAAAATTTGGATTTTTGGAAAGAATCTTTTAACAGCCCATTTAATATATATATATATATTATTGTAGTGTGTTTAGAAATCTTAATAAATGGGGTATTAAGAGATAGAAGTGAAAAAAGATTGAATTTTCCTTTCGTGGCAACTAAATGCTCTTTACGGCCCGTAATCGAATCGGACGTAATTGGTTTCCTCGATGAAGATTCCTTGGCAGGTAATTTCTCCGGGTAGGTGAGAATTTTAGCTTCCACCGAAAACGTTTCCGGAGAAGGTGGGAGAGTGTGAGTGAAATGTCCTTGTAGGTGAGAAAGACACGCCGGGGAAATGTCCTTGCCAGGGGAAATTAATTTTGTCTACATGCATTTCTCTGCAGGTGCAATTCGCTTCAATTGAAAAGACGGAAATTGAAGTCTGCGCAAATAGAACGTTAATTAATGAAGAGCCTAATTTTTTTTTTTTTTGTAAATGCAGTAGAAATAAAATCTAATATACATAAGCGTAATTTCTCTACAGGTGCAATTCGCTTCAATTGAAAAGACGGAAATTGAAGTCTGCGCAAATAGAGCGTTAATTAACTAAGAGATTAATTTTTTTTTTTTGCAAATGCAGTAGAAGTAAAATATAAAGTAAACAAGTGTGCTCAGACGAGTTCTTCGAAATGAAGTCAAACATAGAAATCTCAATACAGAAAGTATAGATAAGGAGGAAATCTGATTTTCGATATCATATCGACCTAATAAAGTGAAGGTAATGATTTTTTTACGATATTGGAGATAGTTTGCAGGACGCACGATTAAAAATAGAGTCCTGGTATCTAATCACGTCCATCGTGTCATATTTGTAAGTATTGGTAACATGCAGCGATAGTAATTTCCTATTTGTACTTTTACATTAGAAAGTGGGAAACTTTCCACGAGAGGAACATTTTATAATTGACATTCATAAGGAACACCTTCATGACTCGTTTCATAATTTTTTATGAGGCAAACGTGATGGTTAAAATATGAACTACGATCCCTGAAATTGTTTATCACCAACGCGAGAGATAAATTTATCATTACATGTACAATATTAAGAAAATTGCATGGACTTTGTTTCATATTTAAATATTTTTTGTTCATCATTGCGTCCTGCCGACATGAGTTCCAAATAAGGATTCATAAGCAACACCTTCATGACTCGTTTCATGATTTTTCATTTGGCAAATTTCATACAACTTTTCCATCACTTTGTTTATCCCGGATTTTTGTTTCCCAGGGTACACACGTGGGGTATTTCGTCGAAGGATCCGGAGCTCCCTAGGTTTCGTCCTGGGGACTTTTCGGGGAGGAAAGACTTCCCCGGGCGAAGTTGCGACAGCTGTCCACCGATTAACATATAAATCAAATCCCGAAGGACGGATCCCGGCAATCTCCAGGATGTGCCGGGACACGTGTCCCGTCCAGGGCGATCCTGGGCACGCGTTAACGGTGCATGTCAATCGGTGCATAAACCAGGACGAAACCTCGTGTCCCCGCCATTTCGTCGGCGGCGTCGGCTGCTTCATGTAAATTGGAACGTAAACGAAGGCCGACGGCCCCGAGGACCTTGGACGAGGATCGAATGGGTCCGAAACCGCCCTGGTGATGCCCCGACCCAAGATTTAACGGCCCCGTCCTTGAACCAT